TATTTTGAATCTCATAGATGATTTCTATTTATAAAGATTATATGTTGCTCTGTTTCACTAGTCATTTTGCTGGCAATATTCCCACATTGTACATCTTCTTGCAGGGAAATCAGTTTTAAACCTATTGACCCTACAGATGATTCAGTATGTTAAAAATCTCTACTACATTCCAGGAAAATTGAAATTCCTGGTTCCTTCTTGAGTTGTTTCAACTGTTTGAAAAATATTTATTTTATCAATGAATGAATTACAAAACAATGAACAAATTCTGCAGTTTGTTGTTGTGGTCATTTTTGCTGTTGTTGAGGACAGTGATGTATAGTCAAAAACAGGAATGCTACGTGAAACATCAGGACATTTTGAAAGAAACATAAAATTGACTTTAGGTATTTGAATCCATGTTTTCTAAACCTGAATAATGGCTCTATCTCCTTATATGTAAACCCTAATCATCTTTTTTTTTAAATATATTTTTATTGATTTCAGAGAGGAAGAGAGAGGGAGAGAGAGATAGAAACATCAATGATGAGAGAGAATCATTGGCTGCCTCCTGCACGCCCCCTACTGGGGATGGAGCCCACAACCTGGGCATGTGCCCTGACTAGGAATCGAACCGTGACCTCTTGGTCGGCACTCAACCACTGAGCCACACTAGCCAGGCCCTAATCATCTTTTTACAAAACCAGATGGAATAGATTAGCTTTTCTGGAAGGGGAGAGACTTAATTGACATTTGTTGTTTATACTGTTAAATCTTTCTAATAGCCATTGATTATATTTTAAAAGACAGTATAAAAATTAATAATTTGAAACTAGCAACAATGCTTCTAATTATAAATAATCATTGATAAACTTTTATTTGAAGTAGTTTGTCAGTTTCTGTACATCTGTTTAATGGAAGTCATTTGCTATTTCAGTATGAAAATCTGTGTAAATCTTTAAATTATATGTGCCCAATATGGATAAGTGCTGTACATGAATATATCTTCAATTCAGATATTCTCTCTTTAGTTAGGAGAGTTTCTGTTCTTTGTAAGTTATTATATTTAATTTTTAGAAATACTTTTTTCTCAAGTCTATGCACATTTTATCCTCAGAGAAATTCTTTGAATTTTTACATCTTTTTTTCAAATCTAATTCCTTAAGATACATGATTTATAAACATTTTCAGCGAGTTAGGATCTGTCACTAGATCCATATTCTGACAGAAGAGATCGTTTTTCTTTTCACTGTATTGATACCATTGTAATTAGCTAATCTAATATATAAAAACCCTGGGGCTGTCAGGACCGGAAGCTCAACTAACCGGAAGTCAGTCCTGCAGTCAGCGCTGGGTTGCCGTGGTGACCCAGCACTGACTGCTGAGGGGGCTGCAAATCAGGCCCAGAGAGAGGCCTGAAGAGAGAAGCAGAGTCTGCTCCCTAGCCTCTGTGGCAGCTGTTGATCAGCACTTGCCTCTCTCTTTCTCTCTAGCAGCCGCCCCTCCATTTCTCTCCAGGCCTCCACCGGGGCTGCTGATCAGCCCTGCCTTTCTGATCAGGCCCCGTTGATAGGCCCAGAGATGCTGACTGGCAGAGAAACCGACCAATCAGAACATATTCTGGGTGAAGGGTGAGGAGCCAATGGCTGCCTAGGAGGCAGAGCTTTTGACACTGACTGTCATAGAAACTGACCAATCAGAACCAAATCTGGGTCAACTGTGAGGAGCCAATGGCTGCCTAGGAGGTGGAGCTTTTGATTTTGACTGGCATAGGAACCGACCAGTCAGAACCAAATTGGCCAGCAGGAGAGGGCAGTTGGGGGTGAGATCAGGCTGGCAGGGGAGGTCAATTAGGGGTGATCCATTGACCGAGGGGTCCCAGATTGGAGAGGGTGCAGGCTGGGTGAGGGACCCCCCCCCCAGTGCACAATTTTCGTGCACCGGGCCTCTAGTCCTATATAATAAAAGAGAAACATGCAAATACCATCCCTCCAAAAATCCTGTAATAGCTCCTGTGACCTCCGGGGTTAAATGCCAAATTCCTTTAGAGTGGCTGACAAAGGCCCTCAAGATCCTCAGGATCTAGCCCCGCCCTTCCCTGTCTCCCTCACCACCTCCAGGCTGAGCCTCGTGCCCTCTACAGATGTGGTTCCCTCTTCCTAGAAAGCACTGGCCTTAACCTCCCTCCCCTTGACTGGCAGGCACATCCATGGCTTCACCTGTAGCTCCTTCACATCAGGGCTTGAATTGGGCGAGCCAGGACTGGATGAACACAGTTCTTTCTAGATGAACCCAGAGCTGTTCTTACTACTAGAATAGACAAATAGAACCCACCAGTGAGTGAACCATCTGATTTGTGAGATGTCCCATAGGTCCCTTCAAGAGTTGCTGTCTGCGGCCTGGGAGCAGCCCCAGGGGCCTGATCAGAGGTGTGGTTGGGAGCACCTCAGGTTCATCTTGCTGATTATGGAATTCCCTGGCTGCTCTGAGGATGAGCAGGGGAGGCAGAGGAAGGGCAAGATGGCTTGGAAGGGACATTGGGCTGAAGCCAGAGCCAAGTCTTGTCTGAGAGAGCCTGGGCCTCTGGAGTGGCAGGGGGGGGGGGCCCCCCCCCCCCCCCCAGTGCATGATTTTCATGCACTGGGCCTCTAGTCTATATAATAAAAGTCTAAGCGACCATTAAGGCGGAACAACCAGAACTACCGGTCGCTATGATGTGCACTAACCACAGGGGGCAGATGCTCAACGCAGGAGCTGCCCCCTGGTGGTCAGTGTGCTCCCTCAGGAGCGCTGCTCAACCAGAAGCCAGGCTCACGGCTGGCGAGCCCAGTGGCAGTGGCGAAAGCTTCTCCCGTCTCCGCGGCAGCACTAAGGAGCAGCAAGCCGAGCGGTAAGGAGCAGCGAGCAGGCAGACAGTACGGAGCGAGGGGTCCTGGACTGCAAGAAGGTACAGGCTGGGCTGAGGGACCGCCCCTACCCCCCCACCCTCCTGGTGCACAAATTTTATGCACAGGGCCTCTAGTTATTAATAGGAAAGGGGCAAAAGAGGAGGCCAGACATAATAAACGTGGTCATTTGGGCAGCTTCAACAGGAAGCTGCAATTCCATACTTCCCAGCTCCATTCCCTGCAGATTACTAGGGGAAGGGACTAAACAAAGGGGAGATGGGCGCTTGGGCAGTGAAGTTGGGGTAAAGGAAGTTGCCTGTCAGTCAAACCTTGGGACAGAGATCATTGTTCAGAGGGGGTGGGCAATGCAAGCTGCCTCGTGGACCCTACCCACAATGGACTGATGGACTAAGACTGGGAACACAAAGTAAACTAGCCTGATACTGGATTGGACTGTCCCCAACATGGAGCAAAAACTCTGGGCAATAACTTTAATTCTAGTCCTATTGAAATCACAGCTACACTTCTTCCATGGTGGACAGAGGGACATGGGACCTTGGGAACTCGGATTTAATTCCATAGAAATAAAGCTTTCTACAATATCTCATCCTCCCGTGCAAGTGTCAAAATTCTTTTTCTCAGGACATCGCAAGATGCCCACTCCCACCAGCAACCTATGGTGGCGAGGAGAGTTCCCTACCGATAATAGTATCAAGATATTCCCAACGTGAATGTGGGGGATAGGGCTCTATCTAAAATGGTAATTCCTCTTTTTTAAGAAGTGCCTTGTTTCTTTCATTGAAAAATGGACATCACCTTCCTGATACTGTTCATATAGTCCTTTCCATTTTCTCTTTCTTTGTTATAAGCAGTAAGAGAAGTGTATAATATAGACAGATCTGTTTTCAGAGATGATACATAACCCCACCAAAGAAATAAAAATAAAAACTATGGCACCCTTATAAAATTCTGGCATATTTGTATTATCTGCTGAGGATAACGAGATTTCACTTAAGACAGGTCAGTGGCATCATCGGATTGCTGCTTACCTCCTGGATTCAACTTTCTTCTTAGGATCTTTCTGATATACTTTACTTATTGAGAGAGAGATGAGAGAGAGAGAGAGAGAGAGAGAGAGAGAGAGAGAGAGAGAGAGAGATTGATTCACTGTAGCACTAGGGAAGCTTGTAAAGTCAGTGCAATATTGTAAAGATGTGCTGCGGGAAGGATTCTGAGCCAAAGGCACTTTAACTATGTGCTTTGCATCTCCCTTACTTTCTACTTAACTCTCTCTCTTTCCCTCTTTTTCTCTTCTGATCCTCACCAACATACCCTTTCTCTCTTACTCCCTTCATGTCCCCCCCCCCTTACCAACTACATTGCCTCTCTAAAGATGAAAGGTTTTTAAATCATCCCCAAATTACCAACCATGATTGCTAAAAAGCCCTGTAATTTGAAATGGTTTAAATTGCTAGGGAGATAATCCTGTGTTATGCAATAATGCCTTTTCACATTATTCAGTATTTCAATTAATCTTTTTATTTATTTGATTGTTTCAGTTACTGTGCTACAAATTTGTGACTATTTTAGAATAATTTGTCTAGTCTGACATGATATAAAAGTAATGAGTTAATATTTGAAGTTCTTTAATGCACTTAAAAATGTTCTTAATATTGAAATTATTTTATGAATTCGACTAAAACCTGTACATTTACATGATCCTGGAAGGAGCTTCGGTCTATATTTAGAAAATCTGTTTTTTGACTCAGCTCAATTTTTTTCTGTGCTTTTCATCTTTGACATTAGGAGGAAAATTGGCAAAATTTATGTAGGTTCTGTAGATTAGTTAATAGTATTTATCAATAAGTAATTTCTTAGCTTTGTTGGTTCTACAATAGTTATATAAAATGTCCACATTTGGAAAACTCCTAATGTTCTTTTTCTGATCCAGATCCAATGCAGTTATCCTTCTGCCTTAGTTTCTTTAATCAGGAACAATTCCTCAGTTTTTCTGTGTCTTTTATGATTAGACACTTTTGAAGAGTACTGGTCAGTTATTTTGGAGAATGTCCTTCAATGTAGAATTGACTGATATTTCCTCATAATTAATCTTGTGTTGGCAGAAATATTTATAAAAGCTGTTGTGTCTTTCTTCATATATCAAGATTTCAATTTACTGGTGATATTATTAACTTTGATCACTGGGTTGAGATGTTGACCCAGTTCATGCACTTTAAAGGTACTATCTTTTCCTTTGTAATTTAATTATTAAGTATCCTGTGGGGAAATACAAGGGAATGTAATAATTTTGTTCTTTCATTATATTTTTACCCATACTTTTAGCATCTATTGATGATTCTTGCCTCCAATAATTAATGTGGTATTTGCCAAATGGTGATTTTTCTATTTCCATCATTTCTGCTGTGTTTATTAACTGGAATTCTCTTCGAGGAAGAGCTGGCTCTGGCTCACATTCCTTTATTTTCGTTAGCACAAATTAGCAGCAAGCTGCATATCTTATATCCCCTTCTTTGTAACATGAACTGTGGCACTATAGGTTCTCTTTGCACCTTAGGTTTTTTTTTCTTCTTAAGTATATCTTGGAAATCATTCCACAAAAGCTCATAGAAATCTTCCTCATTTTTTTATATCTGCATTGTACCCCATTGTGTGAATGTAATATAGTTTATTCAATCACTCTCTTGTATATGGACATTTAAGTTGTTTCCAGTTATCACCTTTCCTGAGTTTGGAGAATATCATGAAGTATGGCATCTGGGGCTTATTCATCTACATTGGTCCTGGTTTCAACTATGGACAATAGATTTCCAAATTTTTATCATTTCCACTCAGCCTCTTAAGAGTTAATAGTATAGATGAATATTAATGCTTTGTCTGTATGCTAGACGTAGTACTCTTTAGTATGATATGGTTATTAAAGTCATGGGACCTCTGATCTGTTAGCCAATTAAGCTGTGTGGCAATGACAAGTCCATTTAACTTGTCTAGCCCTAAATTTTCTCATCTGAAAAGTGGTAATAGACATACTCTGGTTTGTCAGTATTAAGTAAAATATGTGAATATGATTTCAGAAACACAGAGGCTATATAAAAACAAGGCAGTGATATGATTACTCCAATTTTTATTTACTTTTCTCTGTTATAATGCAAAGCAAGTAAAATAGAATCTATATGATCTTGAGCACAGACATAAATATAAAAGAATAAATGTTCTTCACAATTTTCATAATACCCAAATTGTGTGCTTTGGTAAACTAGTCAATATAAAAACAAAATTATTGGGTGATAGATTTTTTAAAAGAATATAACTGAAATTTTATTTTAGCTTTTTCCTTTTAGTTTAAGGTGCAGTCTTAGAGATTTAATGTCCTTTAATTTGACAATTTATTTATAGCACATATATGTTGTCAAGCACGGTGCTCTGCACTAGGTATTCTAAAGTTGTTGAGAATGTTAACTTTGCTTTTATATAGTCAGTTACTTATCACAGTCTCTTTCCTCTCAATTTTTTCCAGAATAGGAATCTCTAATGTGTTTTCACATATGGAGTTCAGATCCAGACTAGGTATCCCAGCTAATGTGAATAGTTTTAAGGGCCTTGTTTTGTGATAACTTTGTGCTAATTTAATAAACCCAAGGACTTTGGTTTCTACCAAAAGCATTTTCTCAGCCCTCTTCCTCTCTGGCTTCAATACATAGTGTAGAGAAGGAAGACTAAGGGACTTGAGCTCCCTATTATCAAATTTTGCTACCTAAGAAACAAGACTTAAATCTATCTCCTTTTTCTGTATTCAAGAGCTGATCAAAATTTATTTTTAATCCCTTATTCTTGCAAGGGTATTCTAATGTTCATTTAGCAATATGACTGCTCATAGGATTTGCATTATTTTCAAGGCCAAATATATATGGTGTTCCCATTCTAGTTTTATTGCTAAAGTACTATTCCTTTTGAGCTATAATGAATAATTAATATTGAAGCAATGTATGAATTCAGTAATTGACCTGAACAAAATTATTAAACATAGAGACATTGGTTAATAGAGTGGATAATAATCATAGTTATTTATTCAAATTAAGATATAATTTTTAATTTGGTAATTAGAATTATTTTATTACAGCACCAAGCCAACTTGGATTGATAGTTTTTAGAAAATTAATTCCTTACAACATGAGGAAATATACATTCTCTTTCTCTCAGCATAGTATTAATTCAGAAATGACCTCTTCAGTTCCTACCTCTTCTAGGAGGGATATTCTGAATTCAGAACTCCATTTACTTCATAAATAAACTTCACATTTTTTATGCTGAAGTCAGTGTTTATATTTCTTATATGAAACCCAGAAAAGTACCACAAGGAATACCACAAAATTAACAAAACTTTTTCTTATTGTTGGGGACATTTAGACAGCTACAAAATGGGTAAAAAAGATGGAAACCTAAGCAATGTTATCAAAACTAAATGGTACTTGGTGCTATTTTTTAAATAACAAATGGAAGTGGAAGAATTATGAGACTGGGTTGTGTTTAAAAATGTGATTTTAATGTGTTAATTTACTGTGCAGCAAGTGCATGGGAAGGCCTTTTCTAGAAATATTCTCACCTCTGTTTCTTTAGGTACTCTCAGATATATATGAGCTAAGCTCAGGATTTTCATTTATTTTCCTTTTTTCTTTTAACAATCAGGTAAATACCCCTAAGTTGTCACTGACTTCATTATCAAATTCCCTATAACTCTCTGTGTAGTAGGTAATGCTCAGAACTAGATCAATTTCAAGTTAAAGCCTTTAAAAATGACCTATATTATAAGATAATAGAATGTCTTCAATAAAAAGGTAGAAAAGTAGAAGGGTAGATGGACAAACTGATTTGATTACTTACCTATGGTACCTCTAAATCTTAGGAAAGTAACTAAAAATGTACTTAGTCTTTAATTCAGTGGTTTTTAACCGTTTTTTATCTCATGGCACATATAAACTAATTACTAAAATCCTGTGACACACCAAAAAATATATTTTTGTCAGTCTGACAAAAAAAAATAGGTATGGTTTTGATTGATTAAAAAAAAAAGAAAAACAGGAATAAAACAACATAATAGTAATTATCTATTCCTTCTTGTTCCAAAGTGACTTTTTAAAAAATCAGGAGCCTATTCTTGTATATAAATATTTCTGTTACCAAGAATTAACCAATCAGAGACAACCTTATTATGCGATGTGACCAGTAAGGTGCAACTTTTTTTTATATAATCTATATATTTATGGTTCAAGACAGGGCAGTCACACTAGACAGCTATATGTTGTTTGTTGTCATTTTTTTATTTAGCAATCTAGGGAGAAAGAAGTCAGTGCCCCTGACTAAATAGTTATTGCATGTTTTAAAAGTTCTTGAGGCACACCAGTTGAAAATCACTGTTCTAATTTATTTTATAATGATCATTTAATAAAATGTTAAAAATAATTTATCTTGGAGGTTTATAAGATCTCTATAAATATGGGACATCAAAATATATAATTTGACAGATTAATGAGTTGTGGATTATGTACTTCAAAGTACCTTTAAGTGATTTAAAAAATTTGTGGAGCTATAATAATAATCATGCTCATTGTAGAAAATGAAAAATAAACATCAAAGAAAACATTAAAATCAACATTTGTTATATCATCCAACATTAACTCAAAACAAAAAAAAATATTTTTCTTGCAATTTTTTTTCTGTGCAGTTTTAACTCTTTGTTTTGAAATGATTTCCAACTTAGAGAAGAGTCATAAGAACAGTACAATTAAATTTCTTCCCTATGCTTTGAGCTCGCGCTCTCTCTCTCTCTCTCTCTCTCTCTCTTTCTTTCTTTCTCTCCTCCCCCTTCCTTCTTCCCTTCTTCCCTCCCTCCCATATATATACCTAACCATAGTACATATTCAAATTTTTCTAGTTCTCTCAAGAATGTCCTTTCTAGCCCAGGACAGTGTGGCTTAGTTGGTTGAGCATCGTCCCATCCACTGAGAGGTCACCGACCGGTTCAATTACTGATCTGGGCACATACATGCCTGGGTTGCACCTGGGTTTTGAGCTCGATTCCCAGTGGGAGGCATGCAGAAGGCAGCCAATCAATGTTTCTCTCTCTCTAAAAAATCATTAAAAAACATCTTTTAAAAAGAAAAAAAAAGAATGTCCTTCCTAACTATTTTGTTTTCCTACTCCAAGGTCCAATCCAGGATCATACATTGTCTTTTCTTGTCATAGCTCTGATTTCCTTTCATCTGCAACAGTTCCTTGGTCTTTCTCTTTCATGACAATGGCATTTTTAAAGAACATAGCTAACTGTTCTATATATGTAAAGTTTTAATTAATTGAAATTATTTCTATTATTATAATTTTATATCCTTTTTCCCCACTCACTATTATATTTTTAGCATTTTCTAGTGTCATTAATTGGTCTTCCAATTATCATTTTGGGTGGCTATATAACATCATTCATTTTCATTATTCTTCTATTGTTTAACATTTTTACTCTTTCTAATTTTTCCAGTATTACAATTGCAGTTGGGCAAAACATCTTTGTAAATAAATCTTCATTTTAATTTTAATTTCTGAATCCATATATCAAGTATTTGCTAAGTGCTTACAACATGGAGCAACAAAAATCCTGCTGAAGACAGCCTTGGCCGGGTAGCTCAATGGTTAGAGCTTCATCCCCATATGCCAAGGTTGTGGATTCAGTCCCCGGTCAAGGCACATACAAGAATCAACCAATGAACGCATAAATAAGTAGAAAACAAATCAATGTTTCTTTCTCTCTCTCTCTTTCTCCCTCCCTCTCTCTCTCTACCTTTCTCTCTCTAAAAAAAAAAAAATCAATAAATAAAAAATAGTTAAATTCTACTGAAGACAATAATTAAGTGTTGATCTCTAATTCTGAATATAATTTAGAATGGAAATTTGGAAAATGGAAAATACCAGATAATGAGATTGACAATTTTAACAAATAGAAATACAGGATTTCCATTTAAATTTGAATATCAGATGGGACATGTAGTATTCATATTCTAAAAATTATTCATTGCATATCTGAAATTCAAGTTTAACTGGGCATCTTATCTTGTATTTTATCTGGCAATCCTACCAGATTGAGTGTTCAGGATAACATGGGAAAGGTGATGGAAAGGAATAAAAAAGATGCCTTACACAGAAGGAATGGCTTCATTATGCCATTGAAGCAAGAATGAGTCTAGTTTGTGTGAGTATGCTCCATAAGGATAAAGACTTTGTTTCTTATTTGCTGCTATGTCCCCAACGCCTTAAACATTGCCTATTACTACATATGTAGACACTCAGTAATTATATTCTAAATGAATTTGCACTATGAATAAAACCAGGCCTTTTGGAACAAATGTTACCTGTTATAACTAAGTAGATAAATATCAAATTTCCGTGAGCCCAGAAAACTTGGCAGAAGATTTGGACTTTCTGCCTTCCTTTATTCATTTATTTCATAATAATTCATTGTGTCTACTATGTGTCAGATGTTGAGGATACTTTAGTGAAAAAGAGCAGACATGGCCCCTACCCTCATGAATTTTAGTGTCTAGTGACAGACATTATTTAATTAAGACAGTCATTAATTTATCATAACAAACAGGTGAATAATACTATAAAGGGAAAGTACTTTGTCCTGAAATCATATAAAATCTATAATAATAAAAGTGTAATATGCTAATTAGACTGGACAGCCAAATGACCTTCCGGATTTCCTTCCGGACAAAGCCGCTGCGGTGGGGGCCAAGGCAGAGGCGGTTAGGGGCGATCAGGCAGACAGGTGAGCAGTTGGGGCCGATCAGACAGGCAGGCAGGCAGAGGTGGTTAGGGGTGATCAGGCAGGCAGGCAGAGTGGTTAGGGGCAATCAGGTAGGCAGACAGGTGAGTACTTAGGAACCAGTGGTCCTGGATTGTGAGAGGGATGTCCGACTGCCAGTTTAGGCCTGATCCCTGCAGACAACCTCCAAGGGGTTCTGGATTGTGAGGGGGTGCAGGCTGGGCTGAGGGACCCCCCATATAGTGAGAGTATAATCTTCATAACCAGACTATATGAGGATGGGGTTATGCTGTGTCTTGAGGGATAGATCCAATTTCCTCTATGAAGTCTTCATTCATTCACCAGTTTTCCTCTGTGTTTATAGAACACTTGTTTCTTATACGACATTGGTTTTTTATTTTTTTCTAGAGGCCTGGTGCACCAATTTGTGCATGGGTGGGGTCCAGCCGGCCCGCCACGATCGGGCCGGGCCAGCCAAGGGGAGGGGATATGGGAGGTTCCTGGCCAGCCCCACCCCCAATCGGGGGGGCATTCATGGTCAGGGCTGGCCCGGGAGAGGGGCCGCAGGCAGTTGGTAGGCCAGCCCCACCCCCGATCCGGATGCGGGGGCCAAACAAGGGTGGGGCCGGCCAGGATTAGGGGCCTCGGGCGGGGCCAGTGGGGGGGAGGGGTTGCAGGTGGTTGGCCAGCCAGCCCTGCCCCCTGGTCGAACTCCTGGTCAAGGGGACAATTTGCATATTAGCTTTTTATTATATAGGATGTGGGTGATTTTGTTTATGTAATAGATTATATATTGTTTGAGAAAGGAGAGATTAGGCTAGGGTGTTTAGATTTACTTTTCTCCCCTGTAGTTTCATGGATATAATAGGTATAAATAATTTATATGTTGACTCATTGAGATTATAATGGAGCTTTTGATAGCTGTAAAAATGCCATGTACATTTAAGAGACTGTTTTTGGATTCTTTGAGCATTTTGAAGAAGTTTATGATGTGTAGTTGTCATTCTTAGTTTATAGACCTTGAGTGGCTATTTTAGGTCAAGGATAAATGTCCAGTGATTTGCAGTCAGCGAGCTTTGATAACCATTGTCACACATTAACTTCAGTCAGGAGTGGCTTTGGAATCTGCCCTCAATTATTGAAAATCTGACTACTACTTACACCTCACTGCCTTCCTTCTAGTTCATGATGCTGTTGCCACTTTCCTGGTTTATTGCAATAGCTTCATAATTGCTCTTCCCCCTGGTGTTGCCCCCTTGCAGCAACAATATATTGGAGATACTAGAGGTAACATTACTAGATCCGTGCTTTGGTAGCTACCTTGTGTGTATTAGATTTGAATAGGGGCATAGTAAATGTGGGTTGACTTGTTGTAATAGCTAGTAGAGAATCAGGATAGTCCAGCAATCAGTTCTTAAAGACTCTAACTGCCCTTCCCTGAAGGCCCGATCGCCCCTAACTGCCTCTGCCTGCCTGATCACCCCTAACTGCCCTCCCCTGCCTGCCTGAACTCGCTCCCAACTGCTCTCCTCTGCTGGCCAATTTGGTTCTGATTGGTCAGTTTCTATGCCAGTCAGCGTCAAAAACTCCACCTCCTAGGCAGCCACTGGCTCCTCACAGTTGACCCAGATTTGGTTCTGATTGGTCAGTTTCTATGCCAGTCAGCGTCAAAAGCTCCACCTCCTAGGAAGCCATTGACTCCTTACATTCACCCAGATTTGGTTCTGATTGGTCAGTTTCTATGCCAGTCAGCGTCAAAAGCTCCACCTCCTAGGAAGCCATTGACTCCTTACATTCACCCAGATTTGGTTCTGATTGGTCAGTTTCTATGCCAGTCAGCGTCAAAAGCTCCACCTCCTAGGAAGCCATTGACTCCTTACATTCACCCAGATTTGGTTCTGATTGGTCAGTTTCAATGCCAGTCAGCCTATCAATGGGGCCTGATCAGAAAGGCGGGGCTGATCAGCAGTCCTGGTGGAGGCCTAGTGAGAAACGGAGGCGCAGCTGTTGGCCAGGCCCGGGAGAGAAAGAGAGACAAGTTCTGATCAATGGCTGCCACAGAAGCTACGGATCAGACCCTGCCTCTCTCTCTGCAGGTCTCTCTCTGGACCTGATCCGCAGCCTCCTAGGCAGTCAGTGGTGGGTCGGGGTGCCCGCAGCGGACCCAGTCAGTGCTGGGCCCCCACGGCAACCCAGCACTGACTTCCAGTTCGGTCGAGCCTGGTCGTAATGGTCGTTACGACCCTGGCTCTTTATTATATAGACTAGAGGCCGTGC